GAGTTTCATTTCTTCGACAATAATGAAACCTCTAATGCTTGTAAATTCTCCTCGTTTCTGAGAGGGCAAATCCAAGTCTGGTTTTATCCAGGTCCAGGGGAATTAACTCCTCCTCATGGACACAGAGTTAAACCCTTTTCCAGGCCCAGATGAGGGGAAGGAAGATCCATTTAGTTTTGGAAAGCTTTGCCACCTGTGTCATCTCTTCTGCTTATCAGAGACAGCACAGTGACAGAAAAAGCACAATATCTCTAATTTAAGTGTTCTGGTTGTGGGCAGTGATTTACCCAGCCTGAGTAATGGCAGGGACCAGGGAATTATCTTCATTTTCTTAGGCCTGGATCTCTTCTGAAACAGCATCTCAGAGCTGTGCCTTGAGTTCAGAGGTGTATGCAGCAGCTGAAACATCTTGAATTTTATACATTTATATATCCATGCATATATTCATTATATCCATTATAGCCATTTATGTATTCATTCTGTGCACCCAGAATTAAAACAAAGAAAGCAGGATCCATTCCTTTAACTTTCTGGTTTTGAGGATGTTTTTTTAAAGCCTGACATGAAACTTTTAAAACTTGCAGATTCTGGAGCCACATTGATTTCTGCACCATGCAGGATAAATAAGTTTCAATAATTCAAGTTTGGTCAAAGGTCTTTTTCTATCCTGAATGAAACTGCAGTCCATCAGTAATTTTTTTTTCAATTTTAGCCTTTTATAGACACATTATGGATTTTTTTTAATTGCTTCTACAGGCATAGGAGTTGTAAGTGATCCCCTGTGGTTTTGATGGCCTGTAAATTACTTTGTGCTTTTCTTCTCTCTGCTCTCAGGGATATACAGGGATTATAAACAATAGTGAGAGGTGCTGGCTGGCAGACTGGACGACAATTAGGTGGAACCACTGATGGGAAATTCATAACAAGATGATAAATAATATTTTAGAGCAACTGGGAAATAACATTTGTATGAAATCTCTTTCTGGAAGTATCCTCGTGTTGTGTTTAAGGCATTGAAGCACTGGGGGTTTGATTAGAGCTTGTGTGAACAAGGGTAAAATGTTTTTCTTGGTGCCCGAATTGCGAAACGGGAATTACAACCTCACCTTTGCCTTCCTTGCTTGCTTCAATCAGAAACTCCTGGGGATAGGGACAGCCTGTGGGGCCAGACAGTACGTAATCTAATGGGCTAATTGCAAAATAAAATAATAATAATAATAATGGCTGTGTGCTGGCAAGAGGCAGCAGGGCAGAGCAGCAGCTGGTGGTGAGGGTTCAAAGGGATGACACACTGTGCTTGAGCAGGTGCCATGCTCAGGTAGAACCTTCCAGAAGTGGTTTGAACTTCACCCTGTGATTCAGAGCAGCCCTGAACTGCAGCTGGTGCTGGGAAGAAGGAAAACAGACAGACCTGTGCCAAAAAATCCTTCAGAGAGGGGAACAGGGGAAACCTCAAAGTCTCAGTGTGAGCTGGGGGACACTGCCATCTCTGCAGATCCATTAACTGCAGAGATGTCTCAGCTCAGAGAGGAAGGACACGTCCTTTGATGGGCCCTTCACCCCAGTCCCCCATAAACCACCCGTGGGATGCACACATAAAGGCTTTTTTAGGAGCCCCTTGCTGTGAACCCAAGATCCATGGCAGTTTGGCACTTGCTACTGACATCCCCTCTTGGCTCCTGCCTGCCTCAGCCCAATTTCTGCCTTGACTGAGCCATCAGCAACACCTGGAAATCACATCCAGCCTTTCACCTTTGATTATTTTAACACACACAGGGTAAAGCTGGAAGCCAGGCAATGTGAGTTCTGCCCATACCACCCTGGAAATGCAGATTCCAGCTCAGCCCTGTGCCTGTGGCCCTGCCTGAGCTGCCCCTCTGTCCCCTGCTGTCCCCAGCTGCAGCCAGGAGCCAGGAGGCAGCGATGGTATTTTGTGACATGCCTGACAGACTTGTCTGACAACTTGGAGGTTTGTTTTGCATAAGCCACCCAAACAGATGGTCACCACTTTTAAGTACCAGCCTGGCTCGTGTTTGTGTGCACAGAGCTGAAATCCCATTCCACTGAACTCCCATTTCACTGAATTCCCATTCCACTGAAATCCCATTTCACTGAAATCCCATTTCACTGAATTCCCATTTCACTGAATTCCCATTCCACTGAAATCCCATTTCACTGAATTCCCATTTCACTGAATTCCCATTCCACTGAATTCCCATTCCATTGAATTCCCATTCCACTGAATTCCCATTTCACTGAAATCCCTGCTGGAACTGTGGCTTTGGGGCAGAAAACAGAGGGGGGAGATTTTGGGGGAAAAACTCATAAGGGCTTTAAGGCTACTTTTCTTACCATCTCTGGAGTGAGATGATGATTTTTTGTTTTTTACTCTCCTTACCATCCCTGGAGGGAGATGATTTTATGTCACTGTCATCTTGGTGTTCTCATTCCCACTTCCAGAGAAATGCTGAGAGTTAAAGAGCATTCTCTGGACCTTTAGGAAATGTCCTTTTGCCATGCACTCCTCCCTCTCAAACTCCCAATTCTGTGCTCCATCCACATCCTACCCTTGGTGGCACCTCTTGCATTTTATTTGGTTTATTTCCATTTTGCTTTTTGTCTGAATTTTAATGATGAATTATTTGTAGCATTTCCAGCAGGGTGGAACAGGGGCACTCCTTGCTCCTTCAGATGGGATGAGTGGAGCCTGTCCCAGCAGAGAGCTGAGCTGTCCCACAGGGTTATCCTGAACTCAAGACAGCTTTACCCACCTGCCTGGCTGCTTTTCCAATAGATACTTTTTATATTTATGGGTATTTTGCCCATTTTTCTGGCTTTCTCCCTGTGTTTAGCCTTCTGTGCTCTGCTGAGCTGTCACACAGGGTTATCCTGAACTCAAGACAGCTTTACCCACCTGCTTCTCCAATAGGTACTTTTTGCATTTAGGGATATTTTGCCCATTTTTCTGGCTTGTCCCCTGTGTTTAACCATCTCTTCTTTGCGTGGTGAAGCTCTGAGTGCATTTTAACAAATGCCAGCTCTTTTTGGGCAGGAATGTGGCCCATAGACACAGTTCCTGAGTCAGGTAAGAGCAGGGTTGCCTGGCAGTCTTGATGGCACTGTTGTGCAGGTAAGAACCACTTTCATTCATAGGATCAAGCTGATTTTTTTTTTTAAATTCCAGCTCCTCTGAAAGATACACATCTTTTTTTTTCCAACCATCTTTTCTCCCAGCCGAGCTAAGCATGAAGTCACCGCTCTGCCCTGCTCTTCATTTGCATTCACTGTGTCTAAAAGCTGCGTGCTGATCTCAGTAGATAACTGACAGCCAGAAGGAGTGCAAAGCAGCACCGTGGAAAACAAAAATAAGATTTCCTGCATGTGCTGGTGGATCCGTGCAATCCCACGAATCCACAAGGAACATATGCCCTTAAACTGCATGTGCCTGTCTATATTTATATATAAAAAAACCCCAAACTGTGACAAGACAGGCTGCAAAACTCCGGAGTTCTGATGGGTTTCAACAACAAAGGGAAAACTTAGGGAGATCAAGGAACCATCCCGATCCCCCCGGTTTCATTTGCATCCCAAAGCGAGCAGTCCCACCTCAGGAGCCACTCTTCCCTCACTAAGTTATCATTAGTTTGCAGCCTGATTAATTTAAAGCATAAGCACAAGCAGGGAGGTTACACCAGGGCGTGAACTGGGCAAGAAAAACCGAACCACTTCGGGCTGCGGATGGAAATCTGCTTCTGTTGCTCCGCTGCTTTTAGGATGACTTGTGCACGGATTAAAGAAAATCCCCCGGGTGTCCGAGCTACAGCAATTTCACTTTGGGTGGCAAAAACTCCTGGTGCCTCCCTGGCCATCCCAAACTTCGGGACAGGCGGGCTGCGGGGACGGGACGCGGAGTGCCCGGGGCTCCTGCCTGGCCGGAGGAGGCGAGCGGAGCATCCCGAGGGTCCTACAGCATTCCCTGCCCCGGGAGAGCATCCCCTGCCCCGGGAGAGAATTCCCTGCCCGGGAGAGCATTCCCTGCCCCGGGAGAGCATCCCCTGCCCCGGGAGAGCATCCTCCGCTGCCAGAAGAGCATTCCCTGCTCCGGGAGAGCATCCCCTGCCCCGGGGGAGAATTCCCTGCCCCGGGAGAGCATCCCCTGCCCCGAGAGAGCATTCCCTGCTCCGGGAGAGCATCCCCTGCCCCGGGAGAGCATCCTCCGCTGCCAGGAGAGCATCCCCTGCTCCGGGAGAGCATTCCCTGCTGTCCGGGCCGTTCCGAGAGCGCATCCCCAGGCCGTATCCCCCCCCACCAACTCAGGACAGCATCGCGCCGCTGCCCCGGCAGCGCATCCCCCCCGGCTCTGGGAGCGCATCCCCCGCTTCCCTGGCTGCTCCGAGGAGGCATCTCCGGGCCGCTCCGGGAGCGCATCCCCTCGCAGCCGGGGAAGCATCCCCCCGCTCCGGGAGCGCATTTCCCTCTCGGCAGAGCATCTCCTTGCTCCGGCCCAAGAGCCCCCCGGGCCGCGAGTCCATTCCCCTCCGGGCAGGCATCCCCTCGCAGCCGGGGAAGCATCCCCCCGCTCCGGGAGCGCATTTCCCTCTCGGCAGAGCATCTCCTTGCTCCGGCACAACATCCCCCCGCTCCGGGAGCGCATTTCCCTCTCGGCAGAGCATCTCCTTGCTCCGGCACAGCATCCCCCCGCTCCGGGAGCGCATCCCCCGCTGTCCGGGCCGCTCCGGCACAGCATCCCCCCGCTCCAGGAGCGCATCCTCCCTCTCCAGCAGAGCATCCCCCCTCTCCGGGAGCTCATCCCCCTCTCCGGCAGAGCATCCCCGCCTCTTCCCGGGCTGGATCCCCGGCTCCCGGGCGCTCCCTCCCCGCGTCCGGCCCCGCGCCGCTCCGAAGCAGCGGATCCGAGCGGCGCCCGCCGCTTCTCCGCCTCTCCCCGCTCCGTAAAGCGCAAGAAAAGAGGAGAAAATCCCCGCGGGGCAGCGACTCACGCCCGTGCTTTGGGGAAGCCCATGGAGAGCAGGATCTCCAGCGACGAGCCATGTTTGATGGTCCCGGCGCGGTGCTGGCGGCTCCGCCGGGGGATGACTTTGCTGTAGAGCTCCTCCCGGGCAGCCATGGCGAGCTGGGCCATCAGCGCGCAGCCATCGCCGCCCGCGCACGGCCATGCACGCCGCGGGCTCGGGGACAGCGCCGGGGACAGCCACACGGCCGGGGAGCCGCGGCGACACCGCCCACGGGCAGCGCGGGGAGGGAGCGAGGGGAAGGGAGGGGAAGGAGGGGAGGGATGCGGGCAGCGCAGCCGGGATGCCCCCGCCCCGCCGAGGGTGGGTGGGGGATGCGCGGGAGCGGGCGGGAGAAATGAAGGTTTCCTTTAAGAGAAAAAAAAAAAAAAAAAAAATATATTATCCTCCCTCCCTCCCTCCCTCCCTCCCTTCCCTTCTTTCATTTTTTTAGGAAATCCTCTCTGTGATCCCAACCAAACTCCACAAAGAGCGAGGAGGGGGGGTCAGGCCTCTCCGGGTCTCCCTCTGCCACTTCCACTCTCATGGAATGGGTTGTGTTGGAACACCCCAAACTGAAATCTCATCCCACCCCGCCCCTGCCATGCTCCAGCCCTGCAGCAGCTCCGGGGGTTCCCCTGGGCTCTCTCAGCAGCTCCACTCAATGTTCTTTGTGGTTCACCTGGACGTGGCTCAAGGCAGAAGAAAGAGCTGTGCTCCAAAATTTTTGCCTCATGCTTGTGTTGCCAGCAGCTCTGCTCCCCTCCCTGCAGTTCCCGTGGGCTGGGTGGGACAGAGATTCCTGCTTTTCTCCTCATTCCATTTCAATTCATCCTCCTCATCCTTCTCCTTTGCCTTTTTTTTTTTTTTTCCCTGACTTTCCCTTTTTTCCACTTTTCCTTTCACTTTTAAGGCCAGGCAGGTCCTGCTCCTGCAGGCCCAGTGGAGAGCAGCCTGAAATCCCAACCCTGCCAGCAAATAAAAACCCATGAAGAGGCATTTTTAAAAATAGTTTATGTTGGGGAAGGAAATCAATACTGGCAATGACAAATCTATCACTGCAGTTGTTATTATTCGCATTAGGGAAAACCAACAGCCCATTTCCATTTTGTTGTGTCAATGAAGGGGAGAAAATAATTCCCCTCACAGCTCCCTGCTCATTCTCCTCCTGTGCCAGGTGATTTTATCCCTGGGGAAAAGCCATCCCTGAACCAAGGAGGTCACAGAAATTCCAGCTCCAGAAAGACACAGCACAAAAACCCAAAACCAAACTAAAGAAGTGCTTCTTGTTCCTCTCTTAAAATCACTTTTAACTCCTCAGATGTTGCTGAGATTCTTTAATTTGCCCCCACTATTAACTGGCAAGGACTTCATTAAAGCCAGAGGGTGAAATGCATTTAGTTGTGGATTTCAGGTGTGAAATCAGGATCAGGCACCCAATCCACTCCATTTTAATTCAGGAGGAGAATTAAGGGCATTAATAACAATATTTTCTATTCCATTTTAGCGCAGGAGGAGAATTAAGCATGTTAATAACAATATTTGTGCTCAAATTTGGATTGCTGGAGCCCCCAGAAGGGTTTGGCACCCATGAATTCATTCCAGCCACGCTGAGAGCATAAAAGATAGATAAAAATCCCAAATTAATCCTGATCCCACCTTCCCATCTCCCAGGGGAGTGCAGGGATCTGCAGCCAGCAGAAAATGTTTGGACTTCTCTCCCTGGGCCTCCCTCCTGTGCTCCAGCTGAATTACTCAACCAGGAAATAACAATAAAAATGAAATTTGCTATGGAAGCAGCTTCCAGGGACTTTGCCCAGATGGGAATCTCTTTCCTCTGCCTGTGACAGATTCACAAAATAAATTCAAATAGAAATAAATCCACACTGGGGAAATTGCAATATTGAAGTTGGTTTGCTTGGATGAGCTGCTGCATCAAACAAGAAGGAAGAAAAATCAGATTTTTTTTTTAGGTGAGACTGGCTGGAAATTATTTTCCAAGCCTGCCAAGATCATGTCCTTGGAACTTTAATGTCCCTGCATTTGATCTGGCTGGGCTTTTTTACATGGAAACTTTCTTTTTTTTTGGGAAAAAAAAAGTTTCTTTTTCTACCCCCAGCTATCAAATGCGTGCCTGGAAATAAAGCTGCCACCCACCCTTTTTTTTTTCTTTTTCTTTTTTTTTTGATTGTGAGCTGAAAATGAAAGCTGTCACAGTGATCAAATAAGGAAAGGGAAGAAAGTAAAAGTAGAAAGCCAAATTTTTAAAAAGGAGAACACCCAGAAAAATGTGTTGCAGCCTCCAAAATTAACAATAATTTTGCGAAATAATCAAAATACACAAAATGATTTGGCTTGTATGAAAGCTGTGATATTCAGTTTATTTAAAATGCTGTCAGATTTTCACAGAGAACATTTCTGGTTTGGTTTTTCATTTTTTTTTTCCCCACATGGCCTTGTGTTGCTGGCCTGATCTCAGATATTTCTATTTGTGTTCATTTATTGCTGCTCACTGTTTAGAGCAACAATTTTTGGGTGCCCAAAGTCAGAAAAGGGGTGAAAATTCCTGCCCCAAGAGCCTTGGCTGTGTCCTCTGGGAAATCCTAAATTTTCCTGAGTGAACTCCAATCCTTATCCCTTTACCTACAGGAAAAATGCATTTTTAGGGGGTTATTTTTATCACTTCCTGGGGTGAGGGCAGAATTGAGGAGGAGTGTTTTAAAAAGCTGGGCAGGAAGGGGGGATTTCCATAGGAAGAGCTCAGGTTTCTGAGGAATTTGTGCCAAATTTAGCTTTTTTTTCCCAGCCTGATGCTCCCTCCTGGTGCTGCCACGGGAATGCTTTGCTCCCTAACAATGGGAATATTCTGAAATAAACAGCTCAGCAGCAGGAAATGGAGCAGGGGCTTTGCTTTTCCCCTTATCCCAAATCCATCCTTGGCAAGTCCATCTTCTTTCTGATTTCCCTGCCTGCTCAAGAGGTGGCAACACACCAGCTAAAGAATCAAAAAGAAATGGAAATTAAAAATCAAACTCAGCCTACTCTCAGCAGTTCCCCTCCCCTCTCACCTCCTTTCATTCATTTATTTATTTTTTTTCCCCACTCTCCTGAGTTTCCAAGCGTCAAGGAACGTTGATTTATGGCTGAGGAAAATCAACAGCTGCCTCGCACTTGATTCAAAACAGCACCAAAACAGAGGGGAAATGATGATTTCATTATTAGTTAGGAGTGTTTTTGTGGAGCTGGGAGCAGAAAAAACTGCAAACTCCAGCTCATTTTCTGTGCTGTGGGTGCTGAGCCTCGATGGAAGTGGAAGAACAACATTCCTGAGAGCAGCCTTGAGGAATAAATCCCCTTTGTCCAGCTTTGGTACCTGTTGGGGCTGGATGTGGAGCTGGAATCAGCATTTATTCCCAGCCCATCCCACGGGGATAATTCCCTTCCTTCCCACCCATCTGCCAAGCTGCTCCCTCCTCTCAGCTCTGCAATATTTGGGTCCCCCAGAGTGTTTAAAAATAGAAGGAGCAGCTGGTTGATGGAGCAGGATCCTGTGCTCTGGCCAGAAGGATGAAAAAGGAGGTTTTTTTCCCCCCATTTCTCCCTCACCTCAAACCTCTGCCATGAGTTTTAGGCTCTGGGAGAGTTATTAGAGCTTCAGGACTGGGGATTTTTTATCCATCTCCAGCTTTTATTGCCTTTGGGGCTGGGGCTCCAAACTCGGCTGCAGATGTGGAATTGTGGGGTGAAAAAAGCACCACGAGCTCCATTAGAAGGACACTGAGAATTTGCTTTCCTAGCTCAGATTTCCTTCCGTTTTGGAGTGTGTTTTCCTCGTTAAAATAAAGAAAAAAAATCCACTTTAATTTCATCATAATCCCTTCACTTGGGCTTAGAGTTATGGAGCTGAGCAGGAATAAGTCAAGAGGCAAAATGTCCTTCAGGTATTTCAGGGTGGGACATGGCAGGTGTAGCCTGAAAATAAAAGAGAAATAAAGGAATATATTAATTTTAAAAGGCTTTCAGCTATTTTTGGCTCTGCTGGGAGAGGAAGGATTTTGTTGCTGGGCACTGATTCAGTCCAGAGCTGGGTTCTGAGGGTGGTCAGGGCAGGATTTGCCTTTATTGGTCATTAAAAACCAAGCAGCTGTGGAGAGTGGCTGAGGTTTTGTAAAGTGAGGCTTTACCCTCTCCTAAGCAGGCAGGGCTGGGTTCTTTCACCTGCCTGAGTAAGAGCTGCATTCAGCAAACCTTTATTTGAATTTCTCCTGCCTTGGCCCAGCAGCTGGGGGAGCTCTGGGCAGTGAGCTGGGTCAAACCTTCCAGGTGGGATTCAGCTAAAACCACATGCAAATGAAAATATTGGTGTAAAATCTGCTTTTATTGGTGTAGAAACCCCTTTCATTGGTGTAAAAACTGCTTTTATTGGTGTAAAAACCGCTTTTATTGGTATAAAATCCACTTTTTCTGAGCTGCAGAAGAAGCTGTTTCCTCTGCTAGCAGGAGAAGAGTTGAATAAATGAATTATTTAAAAAGCCCCAACTCGCAGCCCATGTGCAGGAAAGATCCTGATCCTTGGCTGGGATATCTCCTGGATCCCCTGGCTGTCCCTGGTGTGAACCCAGTTTATTTCCACCATCATTTATTTGCTGGGGACTGAGCCAAGAAATAACGTGGTACAATAGAAAGCTGCTGGGATTTCCCCAACTCCCCCACACAGAGAAATGTGCTGAGCTGCAGGGGGTTGTACAAAGTCTGCAAATCTCTTTCTTTTGGGGCTTTTGCTTTGCTTGGATTTTTTTTTTCTTTTTTTTTTTTTTTGGTGGTGATTTTTTTAGCTGCATTCCTGGGCCCTTGTTGGATTCCCTGGAGAAAAAAAAATTGCTTTTGTTTAACAGAATATTGGAAAGGAAGGGGATGGGGTGTTTGTGGTCATTTGAAATAATCCAAATTCTTTGGGAGAGTTGGTTGAAATTGTAGAATTGGAATTGAAATTGTAGAATTGTTTGGAATAATATGAGAATATTATATGAGGATATTGAAATAATATGAGGGTTGATTTAATTTGATCTCAAGGACAGGCAGGAACCAGCTCGAATCAATGGGGTGATGCTTTGGTTTCTTTCCTCATTTTTCATTTTTCAGTTATTTTTACTGCTTAACTTTCCTCTCCTTGTGCATAACATCAGCCTTTGAATGGAGAAGAGCCTGGAAGTGCTTCTG